GGTCTTAGCTGGTCAGGCTGGGAGATGACCAGCTAAAACCAGCTTGACCAGCCTAGCCAAGCTGGGAGTTCAGCCAAATCCAGCTATATCCAGCTTAAACCAGGCTGGTCAAGCTGGTTTTAGCTGGATTTGGCTGGTCATTTTGCAGCCTGTCCAGCTAAGACAGGCTAGAAATGGCTGAAAACCAGCCTGGAAATGGCCAAAACCCCTCTAAAACCAGGCTGGTTAACCAGCTAAAACCAGCCAACCAGCCTAGGCTGGTTTAAGCTGGATTTTTCAGCAGGGGCGACTCTTTTAAGGTGCACCACATAATCGGCAGGTGACTTGTTAAAGAAACTCAACAAATGTTGCACCATGACACACACAGTGAAACAGACAGGGACTTTTTGCAAAGGTTGTATATGTATTTAAGTGTCTGTTTAAGGTCGTCTTCAGACACTTTCTCCAGAGCGCGTCCGGCTCGGCTGTGTTTCTAAAGTTGAAGCAGTCTGTTTTTGTTGGTTTGGCACACGTCAGGAAGCAGTGGTAGAGTACAGCTTCTCTGCTTCTCTTTATATCCAGAAGACTCTGATATCTCATCTCTCACAGCAGCTCTGCAAGAAAACAGCAGAAACACATGTGAGAAGATGATTTATTGAACTATTAAAAGCTTGCCAACAACATCTATGACTGGTATTATGAAACTGAAAATAGAGACGCTTTGCAGAATGTCAAGGCTGCTTTTTTCAGTCATTCACACTGTCCTAAAGTTAAAAAAACTGCAGAAATCATTGTCCACACCAGTGGCGTTGCGAGGGGGGGCTTTGGGGGCTTAAGCCCCTGATGTATTGTCAAAAGCCCCTGATCTCTCGGAATATGTTGCACTTAATAAAAAAAATATGTTGTATAACATTTGTTTTGTTATCTAAGTACTGAAAATTACCACATACATCACGAACATTCCACTTAACGCAGCTTTTGTGTCGGGTAATTAAATCGTCAGCTGTTCAGCAGTACCTGTTTCTACCGGCAGGTGGGAGTGGCTCTGTTGTCACATGGTGTTAAAAAAATCCCACCACTGCACTTCATTCATTCATTATTTTGAGGAGCTGAATCTAATGAGGTAATAATACAAATCTTTCGCGAAACTGAATAGTTTTAACAACTGATGAAGCTTATTTGTTTCCACAGTATAAAATGTGTGTAGTTTTGGTGAAATAAAATAACTATAATCAGTAAAATGTGCATCATATCAATGTAAAAACATGCAAGTTAGTCAAAAAACGTAAATTGTACTAGCTTTCTAGATATGATATAGATATCTAGACATTTATATGATATAGCAAGTCACATCTGTTTCTGTAATAGTTAAATCACAGTGAGTTTATGCATCTAGCTTATTATTAGCTATATGTAACATGCAATGTCAATGTTGGGGGGGCGAGGCAACTTCTTTGGGGCTAAGCCCCTCATCCCTTTCGACCCTAGCAATGCCCCTGGTCCACACTGCCAATGGGGTCAGCAAATTAATCTTGTTTTTCTTTTGACGTAAGATTATTTTCCTTACCCCATTGGCAGATTATTTAGCTTGTTTCAAGGAAAAACTCACTTAATATTGGCATATTATTTCTCAAAACAAGACAATATGCTTTGCTTGTCTAGAAAATGCTTCTTGATATAAGACATTTTAGATATTTAGACTAGAAACAAGAGAAAAAAATCTAAGCAAGAAAAGCATTTTTTTGCAGTGCAGTTTCATGCATGGAAAATATCAGCTTGGAGACTTCTCTCAATCATCCTTTATACATTATTTTCAAGCTTTTATTTTAGGTTCAGTTTAGTTCAGTTCAGTATGATGTAAATGTCACTGCTGAAAGACGAAACACTGAGAAGCAACTTCACTGATGAGCCGATTTGATCAATATACAGTATGATTTAACATACAGTTGAAACCAGAAGTTTACATACACTCTAAAAAAAGGAACATAACCATTTAAAAAAAATGTCTGATAGTAAATCATACTAAAAGTTTACTATTTTAGGTCCGTTAGGATTACCTAAATCATTTACATTTGCTAAATGCCAGAATAATGATCAATTATTATTTATTAATTTCTAGACAATCAAAAGTTTACACACATTTCCTTGGTATTTTTTAGCTTTGCTTTTAAACTGTATAACTTTGGTCAAATGTTTTGGGCGTCCTTCCACAAGCTCCTCACAATAAGAATTTTGGCCCATTCCTCCTGACAGAACTGGTGTAACGGAGTCAAATTAGGCTGTCTTGCTCGCACAAGCTTTTTTAACTGTGCCCACAAATTTTCTATAGGATTGAGATCAGGGCTTTGTGATGGCCACTCCAAAACATACACTCTGTTCTCCTTAAAGCACATTTTAACTAGTTTGTCAGTGTGCTTAGGGTCATGGTCTGTTTGGAAGGCCTATTTGTGGCCAAGTTGTAATTTCCCGGCTGATGTCTTGAGATGTTGCTTCAGTATTTCTACATAATGTTCTTTCCTCATGATGCCATCTATGCTGTGAAGTGGACCAGTCCCTCCTGGAGCAAAACAGCCCCACAACATGATGCTGCAGACCCCATACTTCACAGTTAGGATGGCGTTTCTAGGCTTTCAAGCTTTCCCCTTTCCCTTTGGTCATTATGACCAAACAGTTCAATCTTAGTTCCATCAGCCCACAGGACATGTCTTCAAATATTAGTCTTTTTCCCAGTGGAATTTAGCAAATTGTAATCTGGCTTTTTTGTTGATTCTGGCTTGTTGATTTTCCCATATTGTCACACAAGGAAGCAGTGTGTTTGAGGATTCCCTTCAATACTATTCTACAGTTGTGCCTCCAATTAACTCAAATGTTGTCAATTAGCCAATCAGAAACTTCCAAAACCTTGACATCATCATCTGAGCATTTTCAGAGGCAGAATAATCTTATTGTATGTAAACTTGACTTTCAAGAAAAGTTAAAACAATTTCTCAAAAAATATATCTCTCATTATTCTGCTATTAAGCATAACAGAAACAAATGTGATAATCCTAATTTAGCTTAAAAAAAGTTTAGTCACATTAACATCTGACTTAAAAAACATGGTGATGTGCCTTTTTATAAAGTGTATGTGAACTTCTGGTTTTAACTGTATGTAATCTAACAAAATTTGATTCTACCTGCCACATGTTGAGGTTTCATATGCCCATAGCCTAAATAATTCTTGTAACTTCCGGCCGCAACTGTATCTGATCTGATCTATGGCAACAGCCCTCTTACGGAGAAAAAATGCTTGAGTAAGGAGTGAATGGGTAAGGGTGTTAAAGTTGCAGTGTTTATATATTCGGTCAGCAACGTCTGATGAGTTGAGGAAAAACGGACTCCATATCTGTTATCTTCCTCGACCCGAGCAGAGCAGGTTTAAGAAAAGGTTGCGTGACCCTTCAGACAACAGACACATCAGATACGGAAAGGATGTGGTTTTGGCATCTTTCTATCAGTGAAAAACACCTTGTGTAGATAAGAACTCTTAAAGAATATTTTGTATATTGGCTATATTGTGAAAATAAAAAAATCTCTGTCTGTTTAAGCACAATGTTAATATATCTTGGCATTTTCCAGATTTCTTAGCTGTTTCCTGTTTGGATATATATACATGCACTCGACGGTCACTTTATTAGGTCATTAACGCGATTTTCTAATCAGCCAATCACATGGCAACAACTCAATGCATTTAGGCATGGTCAAGACTGTTTGTTGCAGTTCGAACCAACTATCAGAATAGTAAATAATAAAGGTTATTTGAGTGTTTTCAAATAACCGCTTGTTACAACAGAGGTCTGCAGAAGAGCATCTCTGAATGCACAACACGTCCAACCTTGAGGCGGATGGGCTACAGCAGCAGAAGACCACACCGGATGTCGCTCCTGTCAGCTAAGAGCAGGAAACTGAGGCTACAATTCACACAGACTCACCAAAACTGGACAATAGAAAATTGGAGAAACGTTGCCTGGTCTGATGAGTCTCGAATTCTGCTGTGACATTCAGATGGTAGGGTCAGAAATTGGCATCAACAACATGAAAGCATGGATCCATCCTGCCTTGTATCAATGGTCCAGGCTGGTGGGGGTGGTGTAATGGTGTGGGGGAGATTTTCTTGGCACACTTTGGGACCACGTTATCACATGGTTTTAATTAATTCAATATATACACACACACACACACACACACACACACACACACACACACACACACACACACATATATATATATATACATATATATATATACATACAT